TGTAGGGCTTACCCCTAAACCCTAAACCTAGGATTTAGGGTTTGGCGCCCAAAGTACGTACTTTGGGCGAAGTAAGTTTCTTTGGCGGAAGAATTGGGCCCTGCAGTGGACCGAAACCTAAATCCCGAGCCCTCATTAGGGTACAGCGGCCTTAAACTCTATGGTTTAGGGTTTAGCGTTTAGGGTTTAGGATTTAGGGTTTAGGGTTTACTGTTTAGGGTTTAGGGTTTGGGCAACCAACACCCTGGCTCAATCCCCCACCCAGTCATGGGTACCGCAAGGAACTATTATTGCAGATTTGTTAAATCCTTATTAACCTCAGCAGGTGGATTGACCTAACCTAAACCCCGAAACCTTAAACTGCTAAACCCTAAACCCCTAAACCCTAAACCAGTCACAAAACGAGGAGGCCAGGACCCAAAACTTCCGAAACTCTTTTGCATACCGCAGTATAGCCTGCCCAAGGGCTCCTTCGACAAACCCCTAAACCCTAATCCCTTAATCCCTTAACCCCGAACCCCTGAGCTCCTAAACCCCTAAACCGCCTAAACCCCTGAGCCCCTAGACCCCTAAACCCCTAAGCGGCCCTAAACCCTAAGCCCCTGGGCTTGCCAAGCCAAGGTTGGGTTTGGGCGGCCAAAGCTTGGGATGCCACTATGGAGGTCCAAGAGCCTTCGGATATAGTCCCCCTTAAGTAGACTAAGTAGATGGAATATGGAGGTTATATTGGGATAATAGAAAAGAAAATGGAAACTACTATTTAGGGTCTAGGGTTTATAGTCCCCTTAAGTAGATAGAATATGGCTTTGGGTATATTATAATAAGGTCCCCATATTCTACTTAAGGGGGACTATAGATCATAGGCAAAACAGCGCCTGATTCCTCATTAGGGTTAAGAGTTTAGGGATTAGGGTGTAGGGGTTCTGGACGGAAGTTCTGGGGACCGTCATGTCCTCACCCTTAATCACCGGAATCCCTCCACCTCAGGGTGGAAAGCCCTTGAGTGAATGGGCCAGTTTGGGGCGCAGGGTTCAGCCGCACACCGAAAATTGGCAAGGAAAGTTGAAACATTGGGCTGTCCTCGAGCTTAGGGCTTAAGAGTGGGGTGAAACCTGCAGCAAAGCCATACTGGACCATTTTCTGGATGAATCACCATTTGGGGTGGGTACAGGGGCGTCATTATGAGAGCCCTGTCCAGAGTGCTTAATCTGTAGGGTCAGAAGGAGCTCTTGTTTTCAGCATTGCAGAGCCTCCCCCTTTTGGGGCACGCGGAAATCAGGACCAACCCCTAAGGGGTAAAAGGCGACTATACAGGCGCAAGTGGTCCCAACTCACAGTTCTTTGTACAGCACTGCCCAAACTCTCCATTCGCAGAAGTACTTTATATACCTGAATCTTGAAGAATGGAAAGGAGCCTGTAGGCAGACTCTCAGCTGGGCTTGAAAAGATCCGCGGGAAATACCAAGTTGTAGACACATGTAGACTATTTTCGTGTTGCAACCGCATGTGCTGGTTTGCTACACTCCAACCCCTATTCAATGTATTAGACAGGCACGACCCGCGACACATTTGCTCCCCATCTCCCTTTGGCAGATACTTCATCCGCGTGCTTGGCTTCGAGTTCAGAATCCTCCTGCACAACTCTCATTTTTTACTGGGGGCTTCCCAGAAGTAGGGGTGCCTCTTCCGGGTACCTATGAGAAGAGCTGTAATATTTGGGGGTCTACATCGGGGTCCCCCTACTGATGGAATCGACCTATTCAGTTCTCCTAGACCCTCTAAACACGAAAAGAAGTGGGAGTCATGGAAACATGTTTGACGGCTGAGGTCCTCCCTCTTGTCCTGCTGAGAGCCCGTCATTTGTGACGTAGCCGCCTGGCTGTCTCAAAAGCGGAGTGCCCTCCATAACCTAAAGGCGCTACCCAAACGATATGGCTGGATAATTTGGGTTCCCAAGTTCTTGAAGTCTTGTGTGCTGCTTTCTCAAGGCGGTCTAGGGTTTGTCGATTTAGGGGGTTAAGGTTTGGGGTCTAGAGGTTTTAAGTGTCTTAAATTGGGTCTAGGGTGGCGAAAGCCTACTTTTCTGATCCAGTTATCTCGACCAGACAACACAAGAATCCATGTACCATGGAAGGATACAAGATTTAGGGTTAAGGTCTGAGGGTTTAGGGGACTCAAAAATCGTTTCCGAAATGGTCGATGCACCGAGAATGGGCATCTCCCCCTTAATAGGAGGCCTAAACTGGACCCTCCCAATTACTTCCTGTTTGGATTTGGTATGGTTTTTTTGGTTAGGAAAACCCCAGGTCCCAAATTGGAGAGTCTAGGAAGGCCCTAGACTTTGAACTCCTTAAACCTCATAGTTGTAAGAGCACCCGCCTTCATCGAGACAAACTCGTGGAAGGTTGCAATGTCGCATTCCTCCATTTACAAAGTCGGGACCCAACTGGGGTTTCCGTAAATAGGGAGACAGGGACCTCAAGAAGGTACACCTGACTTTGGGAAGCCATGTGTGGAGGTGGGGATCTCATAAGCCGGAACAAAGCCAGAACAGAACTTCCAATCGAGATATGAGCAGCTACCTGAATTCTTAGTAAACAGCTAAGTAAANNTCATCCATTTCGGGGGTATCGCTTTCGGGGGGGGCCCTATCGCTTCATTTATCTTTGCCTGCTCTTGGCTCCTACACGATAATAAAAGCGGTCGCTCATATGATCCCCATACACCGCTGTAAATCTCAGGTTCCATTTGATTTTTGGCTTCCTTTCCAATCTGATGCTTCATAGTTAGTACCGCTGTAAATCCCAAGTTCCATTTGATTTCTGGCTTCCTTTCCATTGTGATGCTCCATGGTTAGAAGTTCTGGCAATAAACCGCAAAACCCTACAGCATCCCTGGAGCCCACAAATCCCCACATAGTCTAAACTCCTGGTATCACCCTTAATAACACCTATAGTAGTTCCCTATATAATCCTTTTATAACTCTTTTGAGGACTTTAGACTATGGCTCATGTTGTCACAAACCCCCCATAAACCCTCACTACACCCCTGTATATTCCCCCTAGAAAAGGGCGCCCATAATGTCTGGGAGCCCATCAAGCACGTCTACACCAGTCCCAGGTGCAATGTACGGCAGGCCTAGCTTTTCCAAGTAAGCAACCTCAGGTTCAGAGAAGCGGGGCCCGGCTTCAGGAAAGATGTTAATATTGAAGCTCCACAGGTATGCAGAATAAAAGCACTGTTGGCTCTGTTTGTGGGTTTGGGGCCAATATGTTGCTGATGTATTTTAGGTCCAGGTACGGCTTCAGGTTAGAGGTTTCTGGGTTTCGCTTCAATTTGTCATCGCCCTTTGAGCATGCTGGCCAAGCGGTGGCAACAACAAATATTGGGCTTAAAGCTTGCATGGGGACAGGGGGAATATACATGAACTACAATCAATGTTTCCCATATGTTTACTGCACATGGGTTGATATGAGGGAATACATTGGGGACTATACAATATGTCCACCCTTCATTATGACTCGCAGAACATTTGACTCAGGGTGCGGGTTTGCATGCAAACTCGTCCGGCATTGTAGAGTGATAGCATCTTCTCTGATTTCTGCATAAATATTCCTAGAAAGGGGTCTGTACATAGATATATATATATAATGGAATATATGTGTATACATATTGTTTTGCGGGGCACATTTAACTGTCGTGGGTGGGAGGGGCCCTAAACGAAACCCTAAAATGTGCTCTCTTGTGTCTGCTTGAGAAACCCTGTTTTGCAAATGTTGATGCCACAGTCCTTCTGGTGGTGCATTTCAACAGAAAGGCATGCATGCATCCTGCATACTTTAGAAACTTCAAAAGTTGCCAACATTATCACAGAATGCCTTTAGAGAGATTGGGCATATATAACGTTTCGGGAGCGGGAGTCTAAATGATTGTATCTGTACTAAAAAGTCACATGGAAAAGAAGATGGAACAGAAATGGAAGCCAGGCTTATCAGGGGTTTATAGCGTTATACGGATTGGTAACCAATATCAGTATGAGGTCCAATTTAGGCAGCGTGCACTAAAATCATACAGGAAATTTAGGCCAACAATTTGGGTAATTACTCAGGCCCCTGCATGAGCTATGCAGAAGCCAGAGTATTCAGGAGTTGTATCTCTCAAATCCTCGTTCATCGCCTCCCGCTAATAACAACCCCCTACGCTACACCCCCCCACATGGAGCACCACGAAATGTATAGGAGGGATATCCATTATTCGCCGAGGCATCCACACACCTCAGCCTGGCCACCCCC